AAAAATGATGTTAAAAAATCCTTTGCGATTCATTTAAGGCTTCAAATTGCAAGATGGCGGCCAAAATAGCTGAAATTTTGGAACCAAAAATTCTATAATAGCTTCTCATATCATGTGACGTATCGAACCCAATAGATTTCTGGTCGTAGAATCCAAATCTTGAATTCAAAATTCACCCCGGCCCCTTGGGATGTCCAAAATTCAAGATGGCCGCCGAAATTATCCCTCACAGGATCATACAGTCAGCCTTGACCTTAGAATAGCAAGATATGTATCCATTTACAGGTTTACTGGGTCGTAGAATTCATAAATGAAGGTTAAATCAACCTTTCAAACTATTAAGAACCCCCCCCCCTTTCAGCATAAATTTAATGGGCAAGATAGCAAATCATAATGAATCAAAGATTATGTAGCTTTAAGAAAATTACACTAAACGAGATAGGATTGTCTTTTTTTTGGCAGAAATAAAAATGAGGTTTTATTTACAGACAAAGTAACAAAATGAGAAAAAGTTTATAAAGCGACATGATACAGACATCATAGGTGTACATTTTTGGAAAAAAACGAAGCAAGCACAGGTTTTTGATAAGAATTTAGGGCGTTTTTGGTTTTTCTCTGGGTTCAGTCTTTTCAATGGGCATTAGGAAAATATTTCAAAGGAGAATGCTAGAAGAGGATCCTTTCAGGATGCCTTGCAACTTATCCTTCGTAATAAACTTATCATTCATAAACAAGAGCACTAACACTAAACAATCAATTGCATTTTGTAGCACCTAGCTATTCGTAGAAATGTAAGATATTCTTGGTAACGCGATTATTGCTAATTAACTGTTACCAAGGAAAGGAACAAAAAACAAAGCAAGAAGAAGAAAAAACCGGGCTTGTAAACAGTTAAGCAACATGACCTTTCAAAATTGAACTAAATTATCTTTTAAATGTCTGATAACTACTTTTTTCTGAACATCCCATCAATAACGAGAGGCATAAACCAAATTATTTTTTAAACAATTTTGTCTAGAGTTTTTAACTATTTGTACACCGATAACACCGGTCAACATGGGTTCCGTCCTTCGAACCAAACCAATTTTTTTCGATTCCTAGGTACTACAGAAGCCCGAAAATGGCCATATTAACTTCAGAAAAATTGGCTGGTCCTCAGGGCGCCGCCATTTTGAATTTTTCAAAATTAAGAAAACTCACGATTAGATATTTGCAAATATCTCCTCAACGGTTCATCTCACGAAAAAACCAAAAAACCAGTGGAAAGAGCATAAAATTTCCTATAGAAATCATCCTCTTTTATTTTTTCTAACTTAATTTTTTGGTCGTGAAATTAACGTTTTCTTCAAAAATTAGCTTAAAAAAGGCGTATTTTTGCTGATTTTAGTAGAAACTTTGCTACATACCTCCAGCCACAATTATCTGAGAAAAAAACTGTCATGCTCATTGAAAAGAACGTAAAATTTACTGCTAGAAAACATATGTCATTAGTTCCTAGACTTGATTTAATCCTGTGAAACAGCAGTTTATCAGCTCCGCCCTTAAAATGTGATTTTTTCTACCATTTTCCCTAGAATCACGATAAAAAGAGAAAAAACTCTGAACACGTGACCCGAACTGTGTGCCAAAGAGGTCAAAAATTTTCGATCAGAGTCAACAATTGTGAGTTCCAATGAGTATCAGTACAGAACTGAGGGGGGAGAGAGTTCAGCTCAGGCAGTTTGCATTGGAATATTAAGGTAAGGTAACGTCGAGAGATCTATAATTTTGGGTCTTTTTATACCTCATCAGTAGATCACACTCGTCATGTGAATCCAACTGAAAATCTCGCAAAATCCAAGACGGCATCAAAGCTCAAGTTCGAAGTACAAGTTTTGTATTACAAGACGGCAAGTTTCGTATTGGTACTCATTGGACCTCAAAATGTTTGACTCTGATTGAAAATTTTTGAAGTTTTTGGCTTTTGATCTCACTGACGAGTGTGATCTACTGACGAGATCTATAACAAGACCCAAAATTATAGATCTCTCGCCGTGGTCTCTTCTTCATATTCTGATGCCAATTGCCTGAGCTGAACGCTCTTTCTCTTCAGTTATGTACTGCCGTACTGGTTATCCATTAGAGCTCAAAATATTGACTCCAATTGAAAATTTTGGAACTTTTTGGTTTTGTTTTCAAAATAGTGTGGACCCAGCACTATTTTGCCGCCATTTTACACAGTTCGGGTCACGTTTTTAGGGGTTTTTCTCTTTTTTCGTGATTCTAGGGAAAATGGTCGAAAAAATTACATTTTAAGGGCGGAGCTGATAAATTGCTGTTTCACAGGATTAAATCGAGTTTGAAACTTATTGACACATGTTTCCTACAAATAAGTGAATCGCAAATCAGGGCTTATCCATCAGAATAAGCGATGACGTTAGCAGTTGTAATTAATTTTTTAAACGTGTAAAATTGAAATATTTCTTAAATCCACACGCGTCACGCCTTTAAGCCGCAATTCTTAAAACTAAAATGTCGCAAATTGTGAAAGGAAGGTTACTTAAACCTTCATTTATGAATTTTACGACCCAATAAACCTGTAAATGGATACATATCTTGCTATTCTAAGGTCAAGGCTGACTGTATGATCCTGTGAGGGATAATTTCGGCGGCCATCTTGGATTTTGGACATCCCAAGGGGCCGGGGTGAATTTTGAATTCAAGATTTGGATTCTACGACCAGAAATCTATTGGGTTCGATACGTCACATGATATGAGAAGCTATTATAGAATTTTTGGTTCCAAAATTTCAGCAATTTTGGCCGCCATCTTGTAATTTGAAGCCTTAAATGAATCGCAAAGGATTTTTTAACATCATTTTTGGATTTTACGGCCCAAAAAATGGTATGTAAGATACCTCACATGCCATATAGGAGCACACGTGGCCGTTTGACTTTCAGGAGGGGAAATTTGGCCGCCATCTTGGATATAAGGGTCTTTAAGAAGTCGGAGTACATTTATAAGCATATATTTGAAATTTTCGACCAAAAATACGTAGGAACCGACATACATGTCGACCATGGGAGTCACTTTCACCCACTTCACCCCCGTAGCGGCCATTTTGGGCGCCATCTTGAATTTAAGGGTGTTCCGGGAAAAATTGAGCCTGGCAGCATCGAAATTCTGTTTCAGGACATCAAGACGAAGAGATCAAGCCATCTCGCCAGCTTGTATCATTAACGGTCCCACGGGACCCCAAAAATGAACATGTGCTCCCGGACTAAAAATGGACTTCTTAAACGTTTTTGAAGACTTAGAGAGAGGATCGATGTGAAAAAGAGGCGACATGGCCGAAGAAGAGGCCGCGTAAGAAGACGGCGTGCGGGCGCGGTCCGGTAATGATGGGCGCAGCCTCGTGAGCGTCGTTGTTGGAGCGATAGAGGAGCCAAGGTATGGGCGGCGGGGCAGCAGAGAGTGACTGGGAGGGAGGGGCACGAGCGGCGCCGCACAATGGTATGGCTCCGGCGGGAGCGCGCGAAACCTCCGGTTACGCACATAAAACGGCGAATATCTCGAAAACCGCACATGGGATCTTGTTTGACCTATTGGAACTTTTGTTCACGATGACATGCTGCACAACATACTGAAGTTTCAACGCATTTGACCGAGGGCCATTTTCAATAAGAACCGGGCGGGGTCCTTTGCACGGATAAAATATAAATCATCTGTTTCGGCGAGGATCGAACCTGGATTAAGAAAATAATAGCGAAGCACGCTATCCGCTGGACTATCGGTTACAGCATGTTGGACCGTGGAAATAGCTGTAATATAAAAGTGCGTTGGGGGAGTTGCGCGCGCAGCGCTCTGCGCACGCACTCTCCCTACGCTACTCAGCGATTCAACGCTAGGCTGCTAGGCAAAACGACAGTTACAATCAATCTGAGCACATGTTTCGACTCAGTTTTGATCAAATATCTCTGAAAGGCTGGGAAAGGCTGGTTTCAACCAAGGATTTTTGTGATCTTGATATAGTATACTTCACGAGTAACTGGATATAAATATCTCCTTGGATATCCTTGGATATTGTAAGATGCAGTCTTTAGAAGTTTGAATTTCTGACTATTTTAGAGGCTAACTTTCAAAAATTGCTGTAAGTCATAGAAGCATGTAAAAAAGAAAAAATTGGTATCCTTACGTTTAAGTGAGCAAGCCTTTGTTGAAAAAAAATTAAAAGTCACTAATGACACACCTAGACGAACACACGAGGCTACTGAATGTAACCACTCTGAGGCGGTCCTCAACCAGCTCCGCGCTAACCGGTGCATTTCTTATTATTATCGCAGATAAGATCGATCTTATGAAGTAGAACTTGGCTGATTATTCTTGATCAGTAGATCCTAAGGAACACATACATACCAATTTTTGCCATTTTCATTGATGCTGATTTTCCGACTTTTTCTGCGCTAGATCGGCTGTTTTTCCCACTGTGCGCCGCTGCCCAGTAGTTTTTCCCTCATTCTTTTCTTTCTCCTTTTTTTTTACGAGAAAAAAAGAAAACTCCGAAATTTGCCGCCCCCAAAAAATTTGCCTCCCGGTGCCATGGCACCTTGCCCCCCCCCCCCCCGTAAATCCGGCTCTGCCTCCTTTGCTCACATTGGTAAAATATTCGAAAGTTATATGAATTTTATAAATTTGGTTGTGATAATTTAGATAGGTACCTATGTTTGAAATTTAGTTACGTGCTGATGTTTGGTACATGATCGGGGTTCCTATTTAAAATGCATAAGTTATCCCGTCTCCTGGGGAGACAGGGGCCACGTCCCCCTCCTCATGGCAAGATCACCCAATTTCATACGAGGAAGGCTTCATTCAAAATAGCATGATTCTACTAACATTCTCGGGGTATTAAAAAGCAAGCATAATATTTGTACACCCTGTATGTGAAGGCTTTAGCGGTTGCGTCGAAAGTTTAAAGCTTTTAGATGGAGAGATGGGGACCGAGACGAAGCTTGTTGCTTCCCTAGCTTTATTGATCCCCGCGCGGAGGCCCCTCCCGTGTCTCCCTCCCACATTTCTCATCCTCGCACCGCATCCTTGTATTTTCGTTTACATCTCTATCTACTGTTCAACAATTCTGGTCGCAAGTGCTGAAGTGGTGTCGTTGTCAAGTTGTATAACTTTAATGAGCCTCTGTCCTCATTTTTGCCTGCTCGAGGCTTTACAATTCTCTCTTCAAGTGCGAAAAGTGTTCGCTGGTGCCCGGAAGTGACGAGAAATTTTGATTTTCATTAATTTTATTTCGTCAACCTACCGTTATTCTAATCGACGAAAGGATGTACTTGCTCAAGAGTCATTACCCAGTAAAACGGATTTGTTCTTTGAACAATGCTTTGCCCACTTACTCAACAGGTTACTGGTTTTCTGTCCTTATATAGCCTCCCTTGATTGTTTAATCTTTCTCTGATCTTGAATATTGTTTTTCCCTGAAAAGGTGGTATAGGTAAGTAGTAGATTACCTAAGAGTTGATCTTTTTCAGAAGGGTGCTCCCCAAAACGCTCAGGAATCTAAAGACATTTCGGTAAATTTAAGTAAGGAGCAAAAGTAACTTTCCACATTCTATATCTCAAATACCTAAGTACTTATTCTATTTGTTCTATTCGAACTCTTTTCTATTACGAATAATGTATCTTCATAGCAGTTTGAACTGCAATTTGAGTATTAAAAAAATAAGGATGAATCATGTTTCTTATGTACCTACCTAGGTTGGTGTGTTGTAAATGCATAGTTTTGACACCTTTCAAGTGATCTACAATACCTAACGACATGCTCTTTCCGTACAACCCGAAAGCTCACTTTTTTAAATGAAGAAATGTCCCATTGTCAGCATTACAGTCAAGACGAATGAGAACAAAGCATATAGACTGTTAAAGCCTACTACTTCCCCCAGAGATAACAGCATTTCTGCAAGGTCTGCGGGTTAGGAACACTTGAATGCATGAGACGCAATAAATAATAGTTATTTAATCTGATCCGTGTGATCATACGAATGCCTATGTTTTTTTCTAGTTTCGTATTATACCTACCTACGTAGGTACCTATTAGATTCTCCGCTGTAGGTACATTAAAATATGTACCTCCCTATGTAAGTATGTCCGTAGCGCCACGAATTTTCTCCGAAAACTACTGTACTCTTCGTTGGATCGATAGGCACCGAGGACTTAAATGTTGGTGTAAGCACAGAAAAGACAGAAAAACAAGCAAAAAGTCTAACCTCCAAATTTGAAAATTATTATTTGTTTAAAATATCTTATTCTTTCATAGAAAAGGCCGAGAGGGAATAAGGATGGAGAAGGGGTAGAAAGAAATCAGTGATCGCGATATGTTGTGATACGCCCGGTAGACTATCAAGATTTTATCAACGACACTTGTGTGCACCCAACGATATTATGCTTACTATAAAACAAATTAGCTTTTAGTTTTGAAGCTTTTTTATGCTTTGTATTTTTAGTGTTTTTAAAATTAATTGACTCCTTAAGTAGAAAGAAAACCAATATTTTGTTATGCTTTTGTTAAACCTCCGTTTATAAATTGACAAAGGATAAAAATAAAGTAATTGTCTATCTAAGTAGGTATCTATTTATAAAGCGATATTATATAGAGTCAAAAATTGCGTTATAGTGCGATTAAATTGCCAAAAATTTCGTTATGACACCGCAACTGTATCGCAAAAAAATTGCGATGAATTGAAATGAAATGTCGATCTCATCGCACGCGATTCAATCGTTATCAAATAGCGAAAAATCCCAACTTCTCAAAAGCAGTGAATTTAATTCAAGATGCTTTAAACGCTCCCCGTGCTGCGAATAAGGAAGTACATAATGACATAAAGTTTTGCAGAAACACGTGGAAGTCGCATGAAGTTTGGACCGAGACGGAGGTTTGAAATTTTTTACCAACATAAGACTCATAAGACAAAATTCAACTTCTAACATTATGTTCAAAATCTATTTCTCGACTTCAATTTTTGCGACTAAGTAGGTACCTACAGTATCAAAATGTTACTTTTACAAGCTTATCTTTACCCATCATTTTTAAGTTATTAATAGTGGCCTCTCTTATCGAGCCCGGATAAACGACAAGGTCAAAAAATTTAAAGTTGATTCGCCTCTAAAGTGCTGGTCCATCAATTGGACGGATTTCAGCCAAACGGAACTATGTGCATTATGACGTGAGTCTTGTTATGCGTACCTATATTCTAATGGGTCTCAGGACTCATGTTTCAATGCACATAGTTCCGTTTGGCAGAAATATGTCCAATTCAGGCATCTTCCAATTGATGAGAAGCCTTTTGCTTTAATCTCCTACCACCTCACCTCTCGTCGGATTCTTTTCTGTTCTGTGAAATTTTCACTTGAGTCAAAGCTCAAAGAGCTCTTTCAGTCGATGTTCCATGTACCTAAGTATATAGTAAACGATTGGCCGGCAATTACAAAAATAAAACAACTATTTTTTCATGCTTAACGCGAGTGTGCCTATTCCAGGGCAGCGCCGCGCCGGTGGTGGAGGGGGGGGGAGGCCCTCGTCCCCACCCGCCCCCCCCCCTCGAAGCATAGGCGGATTCAAATCATTTTGTAGGGGGGGCCTGACCTCCCATTGAAAAATTATACTAAGCCCTAACTCCACACATCGAAGAGTAGAGGGGCACAGAATCCCCCCCCCTACCTGCATGGGATTCGTAAGACTCCTCTCGAAAATTTATGGAAATTGACTAAATTTCAGATGTTTTTCAAGGCCACAGCGACCCGTTACGCTTTCGTGGCTTTTGCACGTCTTGGTACCTGATATGGTCCTCCCGTGCAACCCTGTGCAGTGATTTCTGCAATTTTCACTTAAAAGCGAACACAATTTGGTAAATTTTCCCGTTTTATTTTTTCTTTACGATAATTTGAACCGGAGTTATGATTTTTTGCAAATAGGTCAAATTTGACCTTTGACCTATCATAACTCGGTCTAAAATTAAGATATTGATCTGCGGTTTGCGCCAAAATACTTGGTTTTTTATGCTCTTTTGAATGAGGTATCACAACATAGGGATTGCTTTTTGAAAAAAAGGGGGCTAAAATGTTGACCCCCCACCCAAAAAAAAGATGGTCCCCTTTGAGATAGGAACATTCCCAAAGTTACATTTCCCTAGCTTAATTCGTTCAAAAGTTAGCAGGGGTGGGACAGACTTTTGTTACACCCTGTATAGATATTCCTGTCAAACACGGTCTAGCTGCAAAACAGTCGGGCAGAGAAAAATCGCCGAGAACCAAGACTGGGCTGTTAATTTCCAAATTGACGGCCATAAGCCAGGGTAAACATGGCCGACTGAACTTGGGTCTCGAAAGACTTTTGTTCTCAACATTTTAATGCATACCTCTGCATATTTCTGCTGGGGTGAGGTCGGGTAAGAGGTTAAGAGGTGGGCAAGAGTTCGGAGAAAAATGTCAACATTTCAACTTCATGACACCCCCCCCCCCCATTAGCGGGTACTTTTTTTTTATTTTTTTCTAGTATAACACCCCCCCCCCCATCATTATATTTACAGTTGAGGCTACTTTTTTATTTTTTTAGTAAGTATAACACCTAGTGTAATTGTAGGATGAGTCAAAAGTCGAATTTTATCTTTCAATTTTTTCCCACAAAATTTTCAAAAATTTCCATTTCGAGAAAAATTCGCTCCGCGAGTGACTGTGACGCTTCGCGAGCCAATTTTGCTACTACAAGTTGTGTAGTTGACAGCCCTTGTCATCTGTCATGGCGCCGGCCACCGCTCTGTCCTGATTGGCTGTGATCATTCATCACCATTATCCGTTTGGGCGTGGACCACGCCGGCCGCCCGGTTGTGCATATTCGCGTTGTTGTTTGTGCCACCACCTCCAGATCACACAAGTAATTAGGTAAAGGACCAAATTAATGAGCGGTAAAACAACCATACAGCTGAAAATAAGTTAAATTGAGTTGCGAGACATTTTGAAACGTTGGTCATGAAAATCGTAAAACCTAGGGGTGTTGGCACATGTAGAGCCTAAGAGCTTTCATTTAAAACGAATCCGAGGTAAATCGGTCCAGTAGTTTCCGAGATCCAAGTAGCACGAACTGTCCAGCGGCAAAGACGCAAAAGTGTTGTTATCAAATCGAGGTAAATTTCGCAACGTCAGTCACGCAAATTGAAAAACCAAGGGGTGCTGGCACATCTGGAGCCTAAGAGTTTTCATTTAAAACAAATCCGAGGTAAATCGGTTGAGTAGTTTCCGAGATTGAAGGAGGACAAACTGTGTACTGATAGGTAAGTCGGAAATGCGTCAATTTAAATCGAGGTAAATTACGCAACGTCGGTTGCGTAAATCAAAAAACCAAGGGGTGCCGGCACATCTACAAGCTTAGGCCTTGTCTCCGCGAGCCGTTTCACGAGATTTGTCCCAGGGAAAAATCCCACTAACGAAGTTGGGAAAAATATTGAGTTAATCATTATTTTTTCCAGTACCAAGTATGGTACTTGTACCCCTAGGATCCACTGAGAGAAGAAGAAGAAGTGAAAACGAATCGTGCGATATTTTATTCATTACTACATTGTTAATGTTTGTTTAGTTAAAAAATGTGTCTAATTGTCATTTGAGTGCAATTATTATTTTAATCCCGGTTAAATACTAGACTTTAACTAATTTATCTTCCCGCCCAAACTAGTCGCAGGACTGTATGAGCCCCGTCCCGTGGAGACGGTAACTGGGAAAAATCCCAGAAGTTTCATTCCTGCGATTCGAATGTGGGACATATCCCATGAAAACGTCCCGTGGAGACAAGGCCCAAGAGCTTTCATTTAAAACCCATCCGAGGAAAATCGGTCGAGTAGTTTCCGAGATCGAAGGAGGACAAAAAAAGCCTTAGGATATAGAAGATGGATGGAAATCAGATTATGACGGCCATCTTGAAAAATGGTGGCCAAAATACGGAGAGATATGGGAGATATAGCTTGGGCTCCGATTGAGTTTCGTTCTGGGTACCTTAAACTACATATTTTCACCAAGTTTCATGCTGGTAGCCCAATTAGAACTATCAAGGTGGTTTTTTTACCCTTAGCGACCATACTATTGGAACTTCGAGTCTTTAAGCTGCGGGTACCTACTTGGCTTCCTTGCGACATCAATTTTAAACACATTTCCTGGTACAGCAGTTTTACTAACAGTTTTCCTCTCTTAATGATTTCATTCATTACATGCCATTTCAATATCTTATTTTTAGGTACACAGATTGTGAATCTCTCAACCGGAACCAGCAAGTCAAAACCGCTAGTTCCAAACGAGCCAGCAGGACCCTCTGTTGTCAGTGGCAAGATACCAGGACCGAATTCTGTAAGACTTCTACAAGAGCTAAACAGTATCCAGGTAAAATGTTCCTTATAATGTGTGTTGCGGTTCATTTAAGTTTAGATTTAAGAGGTGCGCATGTTTTTTGTAATCACGACAGAATTTTCCGACGGGTGCTCATTAAATGGGAGCTCAAAATACGCAACTTTGAGCTCATTTTTCGTACGTTAATTTTGATGAAAAAATCGGGGAAAATTCCTGTGAACTCATGTGCACTCTCTAGTTTTCAGAAATGTAGGAATTGAACATTACTAAAACAAGCTCATTACAAAAACAATATCCATCGAAAATTTTTCCGAATAGAGGCAATGTGGCACTTTATTAATGTTCGATACCTAAGCGAGTGACAGATCCAACGAGTTAGTATCAAGATGCATAATGATTTCTGATACAAATATTTTAACTCTTTTGCTTTTTTTCCCCCCTGATCATTTTCGAAAGAAAGCCACAAATGCGTATATTAGGAGGGGTGTAATTGTCGAAATTTTCCGGGGAGAACCCCCAGACCTGCGTGTGATTTTTTCTCTGCAGATGGGGTTGATTAAAATCCACTTATATCCTTTTCTGTCTCTTGGTGGTCGAAAAGTGGATAGATGCAAACGTTGACCATAAACTTCTTCTTCACGTAGGTAATTCATAAAGCCCAAATTTTACGGTTGTTTGTTTTATTTCACAGCAAGCAAACTCTGTCCAGTTATTTGCCAACTATGGTCAAAGTGTGGGAAATTATCTTCTGGATATGGATCAGAACTGGATACTTGATTGTTTCACCCAGATCTCATCAATTCCTCTAGGATACAATCATCCAGATCTCTTGAAAGTATTTGAAAACAGCAACAATGTGGTAGGAATATATTTATAGAAATTTTAATAACTAGTGTCTTTTGTATTTATTGCAGAAAGAATATTCAAAAATGAACGCAACAATGAATGAACGAACGAATGTATGAGCAGAACGGAACCAAGCCACATCAGCTATTGCCAAATTTAACTGGCCAATTTAATTTTTTACGAGAGGACGTGTAAGCGGATTTTTTTTAAATTTCAAGGAATTTGCTGCGTACCTACTGTGCAAAAAATTCACTGAAAAGATCCGTACAGCCCTTTTCATGTAAAAAATTAAATTGCCCATACTTAAATTTGGCAATAGCTGATGTAGCTTGGTTCCTCTCTGCTTAACGCGGTCCATATAATACTAGGGGGCCTTGCCCCCTGACCGCTACGCGGCCCAACCCCCGGGAGGGCGCCTCGCGCCCTCAAGCCCGCTTCGCGGGCCCTATACACCTATGTATAGGCAAAGATGTTCTTCCATTTTAATACACCATTTTGTGTTCGAGCTGCATCGATTTCAAAAGTTCTGACGTAACACTCAGATTTGTAAATGATGAGGAATAGCTGGATGTACATAATTTCACAGTCCACTTACCTACTGGAGAAATTTACATTTATTATGTTACTTTTAAATACTTAATTTAAAAAAAAAATCGGATTTCGACCGTTAAGAGTTAATAATATTTGGTCCGTCCCGACGCGACGCAGCGCCTGCCTTCTCACTTTGTATCTGCTGTTTATCTGCCGTAAATATTAATAGAAATTCAGCAATCAAGTAAATTGACCAATACCACAAATCGAAGCCGGAAGAATGAGGAAAAATTGAGTAAAAACCTTATACCTTGTACCTTGAACCTTGAACCCTGAGCGATGCACCGTTCCTCAACTCTTCGAGTGAGGAGCCCTTCACGAGCTTTTCCATTGTTTTATTGTTTATTCGAGTCACTCAGGTGGAATCCCACACCTTGAAGTTTCTAGCGGAAACGACATATCTCTCACGCTATTAACATTGGACTTAAGTGACATGAGCTTTAAAAGCTCTACAACATTAAAAGTTCGGGGTTTCATAATTTTTTGCACATCTACATCTACTACAGGTGACATACATGTAAAGATCATCCTTATCGGTCCGGCAGTTCGTCAGAAATAGTGCTTCCAAGATTTTGCTTGTAGCTGTATAATATAGATATTTAGCAGCCTAAATATTATTTAAACCAAAAACTTATGAAGGACTAAAAATGTTTATAAAATACCTAGGTACCAAAATAAAAAATAAATGTCCAAGTACCACACGCACTTGTTCCTTTTATCGTACTGTATGATGTATCAGATATGTAATCAGATACGTATTTAAGGCGTATCCAGATTCATACATAGGACTAGGAGCCTATTTCACAGCGCCCTTTGGCACTTGGCGACACCCAACTGCCACGCACATATGTGCCCTGCGCATTCCCAGTATTTCGGGAAGTTGGCACAAATGCCGCCACACCTTCAAGTCATTCAAAACCCCCTGTTGCCATCTTTCACTATGAGCGTACCCTTCGTCTCCTCCCAGGAGGAACCCAATTAAGCTACTTCTTTGGTAACATTTCAATCGGGAAACAAAGAAATCCCCTTTTCGTGGTAAAATATAAAAAGTGACCCCAAATTTCCGTGACTCATTTAATCCCTACACCCTCCGCCGAGGCAATTGTTATTGTCAACAACGATCGGTCTACTGTATCATTTATGGCTTAAATATAGGATTTGGTGTAGGCATGATTTCTTTTATACCATTAGTACTTGGCTCAAGTGAGTACCTGTTTGTATTTTTTACTTTCATTTCTGTTCCAGAAAACCATGCTCAACAGACCAGCTTTGGGCGTTTTTCCAGACGGAGAATGGCCCACAAAAATAAAAAAAGTTTTACTGGGAGTAAGATATTCTTTTTTTTCTTTTCACTGGCACCTGTTCCGTTTGGATATGATTTTTGCCTCTATGTACCTAAATATGTGCTCATTTAGCACGGAAAAGTAATTTTTAATTAATAGAATAGGTCTAAAGAGTGAAGTGACAATAATGTAGTAAAACACAACTGACTGTATAATAACCCTGTACTTAAGTAGTAATTGTCATAGCTCAAGCTGACCCGTTTGGTTAAAAAATGGTTAGTGAATGAGATGAATTAAGTGATGGTTAAGAAACGGTGAAGTAACAGTTTTTTCCCCACTATAAGCACCTGTTTCTGAGCGAATGAATGTTCGGTGGTTTTTCCTTGGTTAAAGTGGACCATGTGAAACACTGACATACTTAGGGGAGACCGGGGCTATGTTGACCAGATGTTTTGAAAACTTGTGTCTGAAGAAACAGAAGAATTAGAATGCCATTTCTTTAATGCTCTAATCCTAGAGCATACAGTGTAAAATTAAAATCAACTGAAAACACTGTACAAAATACTTTAATTTTGTGAGTTTCATGCGTTTTTAAAAGAAAATCCATTTTGGTCAACATAGCCCCTGCTTAGGGCTATATTGGCCACCCCCGGGGCTAAGTGAGTCACCTGTAAGGAAGCTATGTTAACCTTGTTCAGTTGATTGTAATTGCACTTAAAAAAGCTTAGTATTATGCCCTTACACATATCTTTCGTAATGTTTGTAAAACTCAATACCTTTGGAGCTGAAAATTTAAAAATAAAAAAAAAAAATTTAAAGAACAGTATCAAATTTAATAAGTGAGTTGGCGTGAAAAGCAACTTAAAAAATAATAAGAAGCTCTACCTCTCCACTAAATAGGACCGTTTTGAACTCAAAGAAAATGGATTTGAAACCTTACGCAAAAAAAAATATAAAATGTATGTTTTCTTAGTAGGTCAACATAGCCCCAGAAAAATGGTCCATATAGCCCCGATTGAGGTCACCTCAAATCAAAGTCATCCAACTAAGAAACAGGGAGTCAAAAGCCATAAACCCATACACTAAAATCAAAGGAAAGGGGTCTACTTTAGATAGAAACAAATATTAATAAGATACAAAATAAATACTCGCCACAGCAAACAAAATTCAAAATTAAAAAAATCGCATTTTCGGGCTATTTTCGAAGGTAAACAAGAATGTTACAGCATAGAGCATAACAGAGGGGGACACCATCGCATCGATATTGATATTTTAAATTGTTAGTCTAAAGCGCTGCCAACCTTTTTTCTCATCAAAACATCAAATTTACGTATTCCTCTACAAAATTCTCACGATGGTTATCATAGCCCCGTGGCCAACATAACCCCGGTCTCCCCTACCTATCCTCTCAACGTTCCTAATGATCGATATCCTAAGAATTCTCAAGCATATCAGTACTTCTAGAAAAGCCTTTAGTATTTAAATAGCCCATATCACCAGGGTTGTAATTTACAGCTATGGCAAATGATTGTTTAACCAAAAAAATGTATTCATCTTTCCTTAGTTCTGAACACAGGGTGAGTTCTAGACAGCTGCATAAGTAATTGAGCTATAGAACGAAAATAGGTAGGTAAAGCAGAAACTTTTCAGACGGACTCAATTTTCTTATGTAGTGTTCAGGATTGGGTGCATGAAGAGTCGCAGGAAGAATTATTTAAAAACTTGTGCACACTATGGCTAAGGATAAAAATAGCGCTCACGTACCTACCAATTGTTATGATTATTTTACAAAGTTTTCAAACAAGCTCAAGCTTCATCAGAAAAATTATTATGATCCACCAAGAAAAAAGGGACTTGCTATGAGAAAAGTAAAAAATAACCCTCAGATGTCTAATCGTTTTCATACCTATAGGTACGAACGCCTAACCGGAGGAGCCTGCGAGGCATACATTGAGAATATATGGTTATTTGAAAGCTGCGATGCTTTTTCTGTTTTCTGAAGAATTTTATGGTTTTCATACTTCGTCCTTAATAACCAAGGTTACACATTTTTTTTTCACCCATAAACTGCCCCCCTCCCTCTAAATATCCCCTCCTCTCCCCAGTCCCCTCAAATCTAGAAGCCTCTCTGCATAAACACATTCCTACATCTTTTTTGAGAATTCGAGGAAATTAAATTGAAGAGGCATTATTACCCCTGAAAGTGTATTAAATTAGAGAGGGAGGGGTGGGGCAACCTTACCCACCCCTACCCCCTCCACCTCTTTCTGGTAGCCAAAGAATTAGTATTTTCCGATTTGTTTCTTTCAAAGTTTTGCACTTAGAGGGTATATTTTTTAATTTTGTGAAAAGAAAAGAAAAGTCTAATATTTATTTTTGTCATATATTGTATACTTCTAAAGTATTTCATATTTTTTGAAAGTTAGAGCAAATGTCGGATAATACAGTGAATTATAAGATAGGCGTAGGGCAAAAATAGTGTGAAGTTTGAAAGATAAAGCCTTTACATATTCATCGTATCACAAGAAGCACTTAAAATTAACTCGTAAAAACTCTGAGATCTTCAAAAAGTAAAACTAGATGAAAATGATTGTAGTAGTAGGTCGCCATATCGTCACCTTCCGGTCAAAGTATCACAAGCGCTATGCGACGTTTTAAAATTTCCACCGTCATTTTATTTGTTTACAGAGAAATTTTTCAACGAAGCTGTCAGAAAATTTCACTGAATTTTCTTTGCACTGCCGATAAAATTCAGTAAAATTTTCAAATAGATCCAACCAAAAATTTCTCTGTAAAAAAATAAAATCGCGGCGGAAATTTTGAAACGTCGCATGGCGCTTGTGATACTTTGGCCGGAAGGTGACGATATGGCGACCTACCACTACAATCATTTTCATCTAGTTTTACTTTTTGAAGATCTCAGAGTTTTTACGAGTTAATTTTAAGTGCTTCTTGTGATACGATGAATATGTAAGAAATATGATATGTATGATATGCAAGGACATTAAACAAAAGTAGGAAAAATTTTATGAAAAACAAAACATAAAATAAATTACTGAAGGTCAAGAAAATCTAACTTATTATTTACTTATTATTCTTAGTGCTTCTTGCGATACGGTGAATAAGGTATGGGCGTTACCTTCTAGTTGTAAGAACTTATCGCATGGTGCTTTGACGTTGCTTTGACAATTTTCAGACAGTATATTACCTCTATCACCACTTCTCAGCTAAAACAATTACAGCAAAACCTCAGAAAAACCATTAGAAACTTCACAAATAATTTTGCCCCACGCTTATCTTGTAATTCACTGTATGGACCACTAGACAAGGTACGAATTTAAGCAATCTGATACATGTTTCTTAACCAGAATTTCACGTTAAACACGATTCACACAACGAAAATTACTGAAACCAACTCCTAAGGAAGATATTAACGTTTTTATTTCACATTGGTTACGAGGAATTTGAACTGCCCGCTCACAAGAAACTCAAAGCTCTACGTGAGTCAAATCACGCACTTCAATGGTTTCAGCAAGCTTCTCAATCGAGCAATGTTCATTTCCCACCATGTGTTGTTCAAACTATTAGCAATTTGCTATGGCTGAGCCAAAGCGTCAAGATCGAGATTGCCAGATTTTTATATCGTAGAGACTGTCATGATAATGTTTAGCGCGCGGTGTGAATCACGTAGAGAATTGAGTTTTCATGAGCGGGTGGTTTGAATTCACGCACCAAGAAACATTAAATATCTTCGTGAGGAGTTAATTTCGGTGATTTCCGTTGTGCGCATCGTGTTCTACGTGAAATTTTAATTACGAAACATGTATCAGAATGCTGAAATTCGTACCTTGTCTAGTGGTCCATTATCCAACATTTGCTCGAACTTGTCAAAAAATTCGAAATAATGTAGAAGTATTCATTATATGAAAAAAATAAATTTTAGACTTTTCTTTTCTTTTCACAAAATTAAAAAAATATACCCTCTAAGTGCAAAACTTTGAAAGAAACAAATCGGAAAATACTAATTTCTTTGGCTACCAGAAAGAGGGGCATGGGGTAGGGGTGGGTAAGGTCCTCCCTCTGAAATTTAAGTACACTTTCGGGGGTAATAATGCGCCTCTTCAATTTAACTTCCTCGAATTCTCAAAAAAGATATAAGAATGTTCATAAAGAGAGGCTCCTACATTTGAGGGGACTGGGGAGAGGAGGGGAGATTTAGAGGGAGAGGGGCAGTTCATGGGTGGAAAGATAATTTGTTACCTTGGTTATAGAAGACGAAGTATGAAAATCATAAAATTCTTCAAAAAACAGAGAAAAAAGCATCGCAAGTGTCAAATAACCATAGATTCTCATTACGGGCCTTGCAGGCCCGGGTTAGGCGTTCTAGGGTTAGACATATAAAAAAAAATTGCCGTGCCTAAAAAAATATTTCAAAAGAATTTTGTCTTCAAAAATCATGTTTTTAAGGGTTTTTGTAGAGCTACTTGTGAAGGACAGACTTCTCGGTCAATTACTGCTGCTGTGGCGTGAAAAATAAAAAGTCGCCGGGCTTCGTAGACCCGCTTAGTCATCTAAGGGTTAAGATAAGTGGGTGGTATATATACAAGTTTTTGTTATATATATGTCGCAGGCTAAAGGTCAAATCCGGCATTTAGGCAAATGCCAAGGCAAATAGAAAAGAAATGGTAAAAATCATTGAAATTCGTCGACAATTCGTCGATCATTTGCGCAAATGCCTAGGCATTTATCAAAATGCCTAGGCGTTTGCTCAAATGCCTGAAGATTTGACCAAATGCCGAAGGCTGATTAGGCAAATAGTAAACTCCAGCCCGGCTCACAAAGTAGCTGAAACTGCAACGTCGAGCTCAGAGCCTGCTCAGAAAATATTTCGTCTTGAAGCACCAAGCTTTGTCAAGTGTAATTGCCAAGCCAGTAAAAATCAATGTGCGACCAAACGATTCTTGCTTCAAAAATCAGAGAAAATGTTCCAGCAAGTGCCACCAACCCATCGCGTGCTCGAACAAGTAACGCTACTGCCTCATTCTTTTTAAGGTACAGACTTTCTTTTTTTTCTTTTTTTCTTTGGCCGTGGTTTTTGGATTATTGCAAATTGACTTTTTCTCAGATTTTGACTACTTGCCTGAAAAGGAACATCATTTGTCTTTTTGCCTAACGTGCCCTCGGCATTTACGCAAATGCCTAGGCTTTTATGTACCTAATTGCCTCGTCATTTAGTCAAATGCCTAGGCAAATAGCCAATCTACGTTTTCGATTAAACTTGATCATTTGCCTAGGCATTTGCCTAAACGCCGGATTTGACCTTTAGCCTGCGACATATACAAGTATATATATATAACAAAAACCGCGTTTTGTCGCTCACCTGAAAAATTTGGCTACTCACCTTAAACCTCCTCCCTTAGGTGCTTCAAAATTGAAAATGATTAGATCGAAGTTTTCACTTTTAGCTCAAGTCCATTGAAATTTTTTTCAGTTAGGTACCTTTCCATTTCATCATGCTGGATGATTTCAAATGATCGAATGTTAGAAATGTTTTGAATAACCATATACCATACTCTCATCATATCCACTGATAAAATGTCTTATTTTAAGATCCAGTCTTGAGTTTTTACCGCTTGTAACAGTGAAAGTAGCAAAGACAGGAGATCGTTGTCAGCTTGATATTAATTTTCTTTTTCCTTTTTTAATCAGGTTGCACCAAAGGGGCTCTCATCTCATGTAACAACGATGATGTGTGGATCCTGCTCTAACGAAAATGCTTTCAAAAATATTTTCTTTTGGTATAGAAATAAAGAAAGGGGCGATTTATCAGATTTTCCACCTGAGGACATAAGTTCTTGTATGAAAAATCAGTCTCCTGGCTCTCCAGATTTGTGTTTCCTTTCATTTGAAGGTTGGTAAGTAAGCTATAGTCATTGATTCTTATCCCTGTAGACACTCCACAAACCTCAGGACTTCAGAACCATGCATTTAATAATTCCAATTGACCATGTGAAGGGTGCGTAGCCTAAAAGCTCATTTTTTGCAGAACAGTACTTAGGTCAAAATTCAACCAAGAGAAGTATTTAAGTTCTGTTCGCGCCACAGTATTTTTCTCAAGTACCTATGTGCTCACGTGCAAATAAATACACGCGCGTGCACACACACATATATACACGACCGAACAATCCTGTAAGTGATAGGACGCACGGTAAAATAGCGCTGGGTCCGCTATATTCTGCGTGTCAATCAAAGCCAAACAAAAAAAAAATTAGCATAGCAGTAACAAAATGATCTCTTGTTTATTAGCAGATCATACTCAATCAGAAGCATCATTGCCGCAATGGACCTACCAAGACACTTGGTTATATTTGTACTATTCACTTGTTACTATTTTTAAATTAGGTATCTTATCTTATCTTTTTTTTAATTTTCTAGATGTAACCCTAATACCTAACCAAAATATGATATGTGATACCAATCAGATATTAAAAAAATACCTATTCAAATAGTTATTAAATAGGGAATTAAATATAGCTGAAAAAGGGTATTTTTCCTTAATGAAAATACCTATCATATACCCAAAAAGCAACAGTCGCATCATACCCGAATCCTACGCGTGTTGCGGAGAAGAGACGCGACTTTTGCGCCTAGAAGAGGGGTTCAACACGTTATTTGTAGTTCCGCGAAAATCACCTCTTGGGGAGGGGCTAAGTATTTCGCGTATCACGGCGACCTCTCTAACGCGCATCCTAGAGAGGACGTGGAGCGGCATCGTAATCGCGGATCTAATTGTGAGCCACGTATCAGATGCGTTATTGACCCGTGTGTTCTGGACGTAGCCACGGGGCATATCCGAGGAAAAATAGTTCCGCCTTTGCTTTTCATTTTAGTTGGAAAACAAGGTAAAGAATGGAAAACAAATTGAAACGAAAATTGAACTAATTTAATTAACTCAAGTAGGTATGCCTAGGAAGCCAGTTTAAATAAGCTTAGGACATTTTTTCACTGTTTTTCTCACTAAAATTTCCTATTTTCCTTTTAGTAAAAAGGAACTTTTTCATTAGGTATTAATTGGATCGGTTTCGCTGGTCACAGAATGGTTGTGTTTTGATGCCTGATTCTTGCAGATTAGCTGAAAATAATAAGATCTTTCCAAATCGCAACTTTCTACATTCAATACAGCTATTAACCGAGATATCGCCCTTTGAAAAGTCAGGTTTTTGACGTCGTCCTCCGCGGCAGTTAGACCCTTGGTTTCTTCCTCTTTTGTTCGATCAGTGATACAGAGGGTGCAACGCGAAACTTCAACGACATGAAACATAAACAAACTGAGGTGAACTGGCTGACCGTCTAATCTCTTCGCGGCGAGTGCGTTATCTCTTGATAAGAAGATCTTTTAAGTGCGAGTCTCTCTGTTTCTTGAGTTCATTTACATTTAACGTCATTGAAGTTTCGTCATTGAAGTCACGCTGCTGTCGCTCGATCCCTCTGCATCACTGATCGCATGATGAAAGGGTAAGACACCAAGGGTGTCACTGCCGCGGTGTATGACGTCAAAAACCTGAGTTTTCAAAGGGCCATATCTCGGTTAATACCTATCAAAGACTTAAAGACGGAGCGCTAGAAAAAAAAATTATGCAAATCGATGCAAACTCTCCGATTGGCCAGAGGATTGGCGGCGAAATTGGGACAAGTTTGAGATTCAAATATAGGGTGGGAACCGAATAAAATTGCGTAAAAAAAGTATTCTAGGTTGATTTTTGCTCAAATGTCACCTCCACGTGTATTTATGTAACTTTAGGTTGTTTTTGGTCCCTCATCGACCGAATAATCCCATTTTGGGGTAACGGTTATCTAGGACTCAACCAAGACCAATCCACACAGGTCAGTCATTCCCGATGACGAGTTAATCGGTACTCTACTGCGCAGTGACGTAGTATTGAGCAGCCGAGTTAGGGCCGGGCGGGGATTAAGTAGCTTTCAAAAAGATGCGCAATGACCAAAGACATAAAGACGGAGCACTATAAAAGCAAAAAATGAAGCTTCATGAGCTTCTTTTCAATCACCTCTACTATTGGCTAGAGGATTGGCGGCGAAATCGGGACAAGTTTGAAATTCAAATGTAGGGCGGGAACTAAATAAAATTGCGGAAACAAAGTATTTTAGGTTGATCTTTGCCCAAATTCAGGTACACACTCATATTTTTTTAACTTTAGGTTAGTTTCGGTCCGTCGTCAACCGATTAATTTCATTTGGGAGTAACGTTGATCTAGAACTGTAACGGCCTGTTTGAACCTGCAGAACCACCATGAGCAGAAGAAAAACTAACTTTATCTGAGATTACTGCCTGTTGCCGAGCAAAAGTAAATGTATTATAGTAGGACGCAGTCCCAACTTTCTTAATATAGTCGTTTTAGGCATTTAAAATACGTTTCGAAGAAGAAATGTGGAAAAATCAAGAGGACAAGTTCAAATCAAATTTCCGTTTGCCGACATGGATTCCCGCGCTCATTTACACACTCACACAAGCGCGCAGCGCCGAACCTAGCTTCACTTTTTCCCCGTGCTTTTAGATACGAGCGGTCCGTCTTTATGTCTTTGGCAATGACTAACCTGTGTGGATTGGTCTTGGACTCAACGGCCTGTTTGAACCGGCAGGACCACCATGAGCAAAAAAAACTAACTTTATCTGAGATCCTTGTTTGTTACCGAGTCACCGTCCCTACTGTTGTAATAGTGACATTTAGTATTAGTGCAGTCAGGTTGGCAATCACTGTAATGCCACACCTGAGAGGATAGTGCGCATGCGCAAGGTGAAGGTTATCCAATTCATGTTATCGATTATCTGATTATCAGCGGTAGCCGGAATGGCTTGTTCGTGAGTAGGTAACGATGAATAAATCTATAATTCCGTAAAGTGCGTTGATTCATTTTCATCTTACCGAACATAACACTTACTTCATCTATTTGTTCGTTTTAGTGACTTAAAACGAGTGTTTAGAACAAGAAATGTGCAAAAATCAAGAGTACAAGTTCAAATCAAATTTCCGTTTGCCGCCATGGATTCTCACGCTTATTTACATACTCACACAAACGCAGAGCGCCAGGGCTGCATCACTTCTCCCCCAAGTTCGTAGATACGAGTGCTCGGTCTCTCTGTCTTTGGTTATTATTGAACATAGGAAGTTGCGGTAAGAATCAAGCATCCAAATACGATTTTGTGACCAGCGCAACTGACCCATTCCATTTCGTCTGATTTAAAATTTATGTAATTACTTTGCCACTGAATTTTAACCTAGTTTTTTTTACTTTTGGAGCCATTTCCTTTTTTTCATTTCTGAAGGTACATATACATGAGTTGGGACCTCGCTCGCTAATTTTCCTTACTGCAGGTACCTACCGTCTGCGGCACCTTGTGCCGTGAAGCTATCAAGAGCGCGTGAGCCTAGCTTCAGCTCCCATGAGTTTGGATTCCTAACTAAGTAGTGCACCGGGCGAACTGGGGTTCCTATGTAATACTCGTATACCGGGCGAACCGGCCCTGTTAAAACTTTCTCATGGGAATCTCACTCAGGCTGTTTTGGGCTGGGGAATGATTCCCCTGAGAAGTGGCTCCCATGGGACGTGGCTCCCATGGGACGTGGCTCCCATGGGAAGATCCCTAATCCGTGCTCAAAATGCCATCTCTACTAGCAGAGCCATAAAAGAAAAAGATTAAGGATTAAACAGGAAAATTAATTCATACTATAGCCGTGGCCTGTTTCAGACATAAAAGGAAATCTTAGTTACTAAGCAACTCTCTGCACCGCGGTCATTCCCAGGCGGTCTCCTATCTAAGTACTAACTACGCCCGACGTTACTTAACTCCCGTGATCGCCCTTGTGCCGCTGCCGCATACCGTGGAGCTCCGAAGGCTCGCGTGTAAATCGGGGGTAATTTAGCAAGCAAAAACTTCCCCAGCGGGGCGCCGATTCCATGATGGAAAGCAACGATATTGTTGGAAATTTCTACATTACAAGCAGTTTCAAAGAAACAAAAATAATAAACAGGTATAGATCAATTTTTGGAAAGAAAGAAGTGAATACTATACGAATCAAATAAAAGAAAAATGTATACAGTTATTAAAACGAAGAAAAATAAATGAATAAAATTGAATAAAAAAAAAAATAAAAAATGAAACAATATACAGGGTGTTTCAGCTGACCACCCGTACCAGGCTTTTTCCTCCGTTATTTTAGGTCGTACGAAGTCGGAGACCGCGGGTTTAAATAGGGAATTGACCTCAAGGAAACCGAATTTCGTGGTCCCGAAACCCCCCACCCCCCTTGGGAGGTAAAGGGGGGGGGGGCTCACGATGCTAAAAGTCACGGTTCCCGACCGAATTGCGGATAAATCGCATCACAATTGAAAAGCACGGAAAATTTCACGTGAAATTGACCCCTAAAAATCCAAAATCGGCCCATCCGTACCCGGCC